TTGAGGCAGAGGAAAGGCGGAGAGGGGCCCGGGGAGGAGGCTCGACCGGATGGGGCTCCAGCTCTGGGCTGACTTGGAGGGCGAAGGGTGTCTCTGAATAAGTGGACCCTGCTAGGGTGGACGAGGCCCTTGGGAGACCCACCCTCAGCCTGGGAGGAAATGCAGCCCTCAACCCACTGTCCTGGTGAGCAAAGGCCAACAATGCTGTCCCTTGACATTTTCTTATCCTCTGGTCTGGGTGAAGATGGTCTGGAGTGTCCTGCTGCCTACCATCCTCCTCTGGCCTCTCACAAAGCTGCCCAGCCACTCAGAGCCTGACTGTCTTCCATCACTGGTGTCCCTTTGCCACCCCCTCCCAGGAACAGTGCTGTAAAAAGAAAAAAGGGGGATGTTAGAGAGAAAGGAGGAAATAAAGTCTTTGGAAAGCAGAGTTTTACAACAGCCTCAGGTTTTATGGAAGCAATTCCGTAATAACCTTCTACCTGCTCAGCTCCTTTCCGCCCCGGCTGCCGCCCACCCCGTTTGGCCTCCTGGATGCCCCCTCCCAAAGAGTCAGCCACCACCACCCCGCAGCATTCCATATTCCTGGTGGCTGATAGTTGGTAAGAAGATTCCCAAGATCTGCTTGGGCCGCTGAACTCTCCGTCCTTCCTTTCACCTCTGACATCCTGGGAGGGAGGTTTGGGAGAAGATTTCGTTACTTTACAGTTAAAATCCCCACTTGGAGTGTGTGGAAGTGCTAAGGATTGAACCCATGTGTGCAGATTCGATGTGATCCCTTTTGGAGTCTGTTGTGTGTAATGGGTGAAGGTTCTGGGGGCCTTGATTTCTTCCCCCCTGGAGCAAGTGTCCCCACACCTCTTTCTTTCCCACAGTGGGTCTGGACTCTGATCCTGGGTCAGAAGAAATAACTCCAGGTGCTTGGGGACATAGATGTGGGGACTTTTCTAATTTCGTTGTACACAGCAGTGCTTTTGTATGACCTCCACAGTTACCTGAGAGCTTTCACATTCAACTCGTTTCTGTCCACTGGTCAGCTTCACACTTGTGTGGGACACGCTTGTGCACAAGTAACGGCGCCTTCATCTCCGTGTCCATTGCTACCATGAAATAAGCATCACACGATGTACTCTGTCCCTGCGGTTTCGGGTAAGAGACACAGTACAGGATTTCGTGGTCAGACAAAAAAGTCACAAAATTTCATGACCTGCCCTGGGTGGGCCAGGAATTTCTTTCACCTTCCAGAGAAATATTTTAGAGGGAAGTTGTAAAAGAATCCAGATTTAAGTCACACGTGTTTGCGGATACGGTATATATCTTCCTTGAATATCAAGTCAACAGGCAGATTTTCAAGTGAAGCTTCTGAATCAGCTGATGTTTTATAGCCACAATTCAAGTACGCAAATACTCAAGTTTTTTCACCCTTTCTATAAGTGTGTGATGGTTATAAAAATGTACACACAGGCTTCTGGGTCATAGATCTTATATGAGCAGAATTGTAAACCCGTATCATTCAGAGGGGTTATACACGCATCTCGTATGCACCATTAGATCTTATATACAAATGCCCAAGCACATTTAGTGTTATAGTTGGGCAGATTTATTTATTACATATTCTATACACAACATAGAGCACAGCACATGTGCACACTGGGTTCCCCATAAAGAAATATTGATTTGAGATATAGGTACAGGAAACACACATCTATTCAAGTACGCATGCATAAATTTCAGCTTAGCTTATCGATTAAAAAACGTTCCCCCTTCTCCACTTATTGTTTTTCTTTTTATTTTTTCTCCTTGCTTTTATTTCCTTCCCTCTGTTTAGATTTTCTCTCTCTTCTTATAGTGAAGGGCCCTTCCAAAAGCAGACCTTAAACCACAGACACTCACCGGCTGGTCCTGGCCAGGGCTGGCCTCTGCTTTCCCCACCTCAGCCTCCTTCTTAGTCCTTGGCTGCTCTGGGCCCTACTGTGGCCAGAAGCTGTAGCTTTTCCCTGTCTGCCCTTCCTGGAACTATCAGCTACTGGCCCCAGCTGTGTTCAGGCGCAGTGCTGGTGCAGGGAATGGCAAAAGGCTTCGAGAGGGTTTTCCTTCTTTCTCTTTAGGACTGGGGGGAGGTGGGGAGCAGTTTGGTCTTTCGGGGCAAAGTGACCCCCACTCAAGCAACCCCTCTATTAAGCAGCTCTAGAAACTGGGCTCCAGGGGCCGCAACTGTTTGCTTCTCTCTGTCGTGGTGGGTACCATTGTCTGGGAGAGAAAAGTATGTTTTGGGGGGTGGTCCTCAGAGCACCCAAACAAGGGGCTTCCTCTCAGCTGACCCTTTAGTCATTTCCCTGAGCTGGAATTGAGCTCCAGTTTGAGGCAGCGGTGCTTTCTAGAAAGCCTGGCTGAAGTGGGACTCCGTGCTTGCTGTATCTGGATCCCCACCTGGAGGAGATGAGAGCTGGGGCACAGACTCCAGGGCTTGGGTGCTATTTCATTCTCTTCCGTCCAGAGCCACCTCTCCTGAGAAGACATGAGACCTCCAAAACCTGTCACTTTGGAATTATTTCCACCCTCCAGCTCGTTGGTGAGCAAAGACTAAGTTCTGGTCTCAGAAGAGAGGCCTGCGTCCCCTCCTTACCCAGTGCACCCAGGAGCCACAAGGGCTTAGGGACAACTCATCAGACAACCAGCAACCCATAAACCTGAACCCTGTCTGCTGGGACACTCCACTCTCACAGAGCACAAGTCATGAGCCTGAATGTTCTCCTTCCTCTGCTCCTCAACTTCTCTCTTGTTGCAAAGAGACACAGCAGCAAAGGCAGGGCCAGAGTGGGAACCAGAAGGGCTGCGGCCAGAGCCCAGCGTCTGCACAGCCTGGGTCTTAAGAACAGCCCAGTGCTGTGACTTTGCCATAAATTAGAAAAACCCTGCCCACAGCCCACATGTCCTTTTGGGCCCTAATTTATATACTACAGAAAGTCATATACTCAAGCCCGCCATGCTTCATAACACCATTATTTACAGCAGGAGAGGAGTTTTTTTTCTCTGAAAAAGAATATATTTATTACAGGTAAAGCCAACAGCAGACTCCATAGGTCTGGCAAATCGAGAACAGGTGCTTTGCCTTAACTGTGATTCATTCACTAGGCGCCCAGCTTTTTCCGCTGGCGAGTCCGGGGAGCTCCCTCGACTTTCCCAAGCGTCCAACCGCTACTTAGAAGAATTTGCATCGGATTTCCCACTTGGGTCCTACGGAAAAAGCAGATCTTCACGCTGTTTGGTTCCGGATCTGCTGGGCTGTCGCCCTCGGAGAGCTGGAGTGGAAAAGGAGGGGGCCGGCTGGGCGCCGGCATTGATCTTTAAAAAATCATTTTGAAATCGCCATAATGTGAAGAAATATGGCGCTTTGCCCTCGTATTTCACACGTAATGACACGAGATGGCTTCATTTGGAAAGAAAAGCGGGCGGGAGTGTGTGCGTGTGCGGAGGTGATCCACAGCTTTCTGCACGGCAGAGGGGTACATGGCCAAAAAGATAAAACCTCAAATTAGAATGGTCCCGCTTTTGTTAAAACGACAGGACTGGGGCAGCCTATCTTATAAGGGCCCAGGGTCGAAGAACGCTGAGAAAATCGGCCCCAGCCTGCCCCAAACCCGACCGGAGAGGATCGGGTCTGTCCAGGGGCCGCACCTCCCTGAGAGCCCACACCACGAGAAGCCACGGCACCCAGGGCAGAAGCCGGAGGAAAGTCTGCTGGAGGTGGGCCAGGAAGCCAGCCGGTGGCCCCGAGGGAGCCCCAGCGCAGGGCCGCAGAGGAGATGTCAATAAAGCGGGCTATTTGGAAGCTCCTGCAAGAGTGTCTGCAGGAGGGAAAGTGGCGGGAGACTGACCCTGCAGGCTCCCTGTCTATGCTGGTGTCCAATACAGCGTGTTTGGAAATCCTTCCGAGCAGGAGAGGCGAAAACTCCCGACTCACCTCCTTCCCCACTGGGTGGAAGGGGAGATAACTCTGGACCCCTTCCCACACCTCTGTTCTGCTGACACCTTAGGGAAGTTCCCTTAACCCTTTCTCCTGTTCGGCTCCCCCATCTGGGCAATTTTAAAGGTCTGTTATTCAGTGAAGGAAAGGAGAAATGGCTATGCACCCCCCTTTCCTCTGACCAGGGCCAGAGAGAGGCCCAAGAAATTTAAAGGAGCTTTGACTATCTGTATTAAACTCGTTCAGAGGCTCAACTTTCCAGGAGCTGTTGTATCCCTTTAACCTCATGCGGGTTCTAATTTCAGGACAGCTAAATTTTAGGACAGGATCTTGGGACACGCAGGCCCTTTTATTCCCCCCTCTCCCCCCTTAGCCACTGAAGGGTCAGGAGAAACTCCCAGGCCTACAAACCTCCCAAACTAGTTACAGAGTCCCCTCCAAAGCAGACAACATCCTATAAAATCCCAACTTCTCCCCCATCTCTTTTATTCATCTCCAGTGGCTTGCTGCTGCGCTGTTGTCCAATAAATATCTGGTGTCAGGGGACAGAGGAGAGAAAAGGAGAGCCGGCGGGGTGGAGTGGAGGTGTGTTTGTGGGGGGGACGGTACCACCTCCTCTTTCTTTATGCCCTGGGCCTCTCCGGCTGCTCCCCGGGCTGGGGCTCGCTCCCTCCCTCTGTGCTGCGCTCCCTCTCTCCCTCCGGGACCCGTCTGGGGAGAGGGCTCCACAGCCAGCGTCCCTCCCGAGGCAGCCCGCTGCTTTCCCTCCGCCTCTCCTCCGCCCCCGCCGCCCCATGGCGAGAACGGCCCCCCTTCCTGCTAAAGTGGGGGGGGGGGCGGCCGGCAGCTCGGGCTGAGGGTTACGTGGCCGCCGGAGCCCTGACGTGATAGCACATTGCATCAGCATAAAACAATCCATCCTCGATATGGAATGCGGTGCGGACGGATGACAGCGAGAGCGCAGCCCCCTCGCCGGATTGATTTATGTCGGAGCTGACGCTTTATCAGGCAGTCGGAAAAACTTTGACCAATCATTTTGCAAGGAGCGCTGAGCCAGGCTGCTCCACTGTACTTTGTTGGCTGAGAAGTTGAGCAGGGGTGGGGGTGGGAGGGTGGGGGGCTGGGGGGGTCGCGTCCGAAAGCCCTCACACCGGTCCGGGTGCCACCTCTCCCTGCTTGGGCGCTGCGCGCGAGCGCTTCCCTTCCCCCTGCGAGCGCCCGGATAATGTCTGAGAATGTCCATTTCTGGGACGCTTAGCAGCTATTATGTCGACTCGATCATAAGTCACGAGAGTGAGGACGCGCCTCCAGCCAAGTTTCCTTCCGGCCAGTACGCGAGCCCCCGGCAGCCAGGCCACGCGGAGCACCTGGAGTTCCCCTCGTGCAGCTTCCAGCCCAAAGCGCCGGTGTTCGGCGCCTCTTGGGCGCCGCTGAGCCCGCACGCGTCCGGAAGCCTGCCGTCCGTCTACCACCCCTACATCCAGCCCCAGGGCGTCCCGCCGGCCGAGAGCAGGTACCTCCGCACCTGGCTGGAGCCGGCGCCGCGCGGTGAAGCTGCTCCTGTGCAGGGCCAGGCGGCGGTGAAGGCGGAGCCGCTGCTGGGCGCGCCTGGGGAGCTGCTCAAGCAGGGCACGCCCGAGTACAGTTTGGAAACTTCGGCGGGCAGGGAGGCCGTCCTGTCTAATCAAAGACCCGGCTACGGGGACAATAAAATTTGCGAAGGAAGCGAGGACAAAGAGAGGCCGGATCAAAGTAAGTTATAAAAAGTGAGGAAATACCCAGGCCGAAGGCCAGGCAAAAGGGGAGGGGAGGGGAGGGGAGGGGAGAAGCAATAAACTGCGGACAATGTGAAGGGAAACCGCGGCGACGGCCGGAGAGCGAGCGGGGGCAGAAGGAAGATGGAGGGAGGCAGCTGAGTGCCCCAGAAAGGGAGACTGAGGCCGCTGGAGGAGCGCCGCCCCCACTCCTCCAAGTCCACGGGGGACCCGGGGCGCAGGGACCAGCTCGCCGCTCTCTCGGCCTCCCTTCCCCCACGCCCCCGAGGCTTGGGCTGAAAGCCCGGGAAGAAGCCGACCACCGCCGGCTGGGAGAGGAGCTGGCAGGGCCGGGGAGGCAGCCAGCTAGGCCGAGAGCCCGCGCGGGCCAGGGCGGGAGCGCACCGGGCTGCCGGGCACCGCACGGCTGGCAGAGCTCCCCGCGCCACGCGCACACCGTAAAAGCCGGCCAAGGGGTAGTGGGAGGGGGCTCATTAGGATTTTATTTGCGATGCAACAGCTTGACGGAGGATTGTTTTTAGCAGATCTCGCTCAGTAGCCGCTCAGGGTCCGCAGCCGGCGCCGGGAGGGGCGGTGGATGCCCGGGACCCGGAGACTGAGCCCCCTCCCCGGACGCGCTGGCCCCTCCCCAGGGGCCTTCACTCCGGTCGCCCCCTCCCCTCCGTGGCATCCTCGCCCGGGTTGCAGCTTCCTTTTCTGCGGCTCCCGCTGCTCTCCGCGGGGCTCCCTAGCCCCAGCAAGAGCTGTCCGCTCGCAGGGAGTTGGGGAATCGCTTCCGAACTTCGCGGCCGACCGGCTGCGTGGAGGAGAGATCCCCCGAAAGGACCCTGGGGAGTAGAAGGGTGAGGGGGAAGAGAGGCTTGCGGAGAGGCTAACTTCATCCTCGGAAGGTAGTTTCTCACCATCTCCCACCCCTCCAAAAGCACCCCCGCCAGGAACCGAAGTCTGGCTAATTTCCAGGATGTGCTGCTGGCTAAGGGCGGCAGGAGGGGAGTCGCGGATTTTTCGTTTTTTAAGGTTGAGAAGGGCAAATTGGTCGGGGCTCTTAGCCCCCAAACAATAACCTGCACGATGGTGGGCACAAGTCCTCACCCCTTACTCTTTTTGGAGAGTGAGGGTCAGATTTTTTAGTCTTCGCTTGCCCTGCCGGATTTCCCATCAGCAGAGTGGCCCAGAGGCCCTTTGGGGGTGCCCTTGCCTGCTGGAGGGTAGAGAACTGCCCAACTTCCCTGAGGTCTCTATGAGGTCCCACCACCTCCAACCTGCCAGGTTGAATCCCAAGAGTTGGCATTTGGGTAACACACGGCTCTTCCCAAACCCTCCCTGCTCACACCCAAACAGATCCCCCCACCCCCAAGCCCACAAACTCTACCTGGAAAGTCCATTACTGCAAGGCAGCAGTTTGGCTAGAATCAATAATTAACAGTTATTTTCCTCTTTCATATTTAATGCGGCTGTGGGTCCCATCCCAGGCACTCACATTAAGGAAATAGCTGCAAATTGGTAAGACACGGTACTTAGTGTAGGATGAACCAGATTTTAAAAAAAATATTCAGTGTTTTTCATTTGGGGTGAAAGAATCTAGTAGAGGGTGGCTGTTATTTTTAATTGGCTCTGCTTTATTTGGCAACTTTTCTGAGTTCAGGGGTAAGGAGAAGAGAAGCCTGTATATATGTTTCCTCTTTTTTCCCCTCTTCAACTCAGTCACCCCTCCCCTTTCTCTCTTCCCTCTCACCACATGGAGCCAGTTGGAGTTAGCTATGCTCTGAAGGACTTCTGTTACCCCCACACGATCCATGGCTCCCCCCGCTTAGGACTGGACCAATCTTGCATCCCAATTTCCCTGAACTTACTTTAACCAAACTGCGAGCTGAGCAGGAGTGGAAAAGGAGACTACTGCAACCATAAGTTACCTGTGAGCCCCCAGCACTCCCTTGTCCACAGGCTGGAGTTGATAAATGGTTGCAATTGGATTGCGTGTGAATTGGAGTGTGCTGGATGTTTGCAGCGTCTCTAAATGTGAATCCCTATTTGTGGTGTGTGTGTGGGGGCAGTGAGATTATCTGCACACACACACATGGCTGCTGCCATGTGGCCAAGAGATGCAAGCTTGTGATCAAGGCAAGAGGGTGCACTCAAACTGGACTGGAGGGCCAGGAGGTCTCTTGGCTGTGGCCGAGCAGAAGCCACCCTCCTCTCCCCCGGCCCAATCCTTCTCTCACCTCTCAGACCTAGAGCCAGGACCCTTCAGTCAGCCACCACTAGTTAGTCTGGTAGAGCTGGTGGGGGAGAGGGCTTTAGCCAGGCTGGGCTCTGACCTGAGTTCTAACCAGTTCCGACCCAAGTGGAGGAGACTGAGTGAGGGCCTGGGGCAGGCAAAGCTTTGGAAGTGGTGAGAAGCCTGGCACACGTTTGGCTCCATCCTGACCAAATAACTCACCTGGAGGTGCCTATAGCGACTCTTGGCCCATCTCCGGAAGCCTTTCTGGGAACCTGAAGGCCCAGATGCCCCTTTCTCCAACGTAAGATGGGGAGTGGGGACCAGGGGGGCACCCTCTTGGAAGGAGAACACGGGGGCCCTTCACCCCCTTTCCTTTCTTTGATTCTATCGCTGCTTCTCTTTCAGCCAACCTCTCCGCCAACTGGCTGCACGCTCGCTCTTCCCGGAAAAAGCGCTGTCCCTACACCAAATACCAGACGCTGGAGCTAGAGAAGGAGTTTCTGTTCAATATGTACCTCACCAGGGACCGTAGGCACGAAGTGGCCAGACTCCTCAATCTGAGTGAGAGACAAGTCAAAATCTGGTTTCAGAACCGGCGGATGAAAATGAAGAAAATGAATAAGGAACAGGGCAAGGAGTAAAGATTCCCCCCAGCCCTTCCCCATCTCATGCTTATTTATAAGGGATGGCTGTGGAGCCTGTGCTGTCTGGGATGTATTCAAGTGAATGGGGAAGGGGGTCTTTTTCTTCAAAGTCCTCTTCTGCATCTAGAGCCTCTCTCCTTTCCTTTGCCCTCACCTGTACTTCTCTTCTCCCTGGGCCTCAGGAGGGAGTTTTATTGATTTAGAAGGTAGATATAGTTGGTTCCTAAGAAGGTGATGGGCCCCAAGGAAAGAGCAAAGTCCTCTTCTGCATCTAGAGCCTCTCTCCTTTCCTTTGCCCTCACCTGTACTTCTCTTCTCCCTGGGCCTCAGGAGGGAGTTTTATTGATTTAGAAGGTAGATATAGTTGGATCCTAAGAAGGTGATGGGACCCAAGGACAGAGTGCCCCTAGTAGAGCCCCTAGCAACCCTCTTAATTTTCCTGGGAAGCCCCAGCCCCTCACTTCCAGCCTGCCTGTTTCCCCCCTGCACCTATCCCAGAGTCACCCAGGGACATTCCAACTGCACACAGCCCAACAGATGCCCACCTGCATAAAGCCTGGAGCCCACAGTAACAATGGGAAGCGCTCACGGTCAACACTCAAAGGAAGTGACACCCTAAATGCAGACCATCACACCCCAAATCTGGCGGAATAGCCCACAGACCATCAGGCAAGTCCAGGGTCTGCCCCTGAGGCAATTACACACCAAGAAGTCGTCTAGAGACACACTCCTGAATGAGGCGCTGCAGCTCAAAGGGCCCAGCATCACGACACCATCCCCACGGAATCCTTAACTATACCCGGGCATGGACTCAAGGGCAAGTGGGGTAAATTCAGCTCCCAAGCTAGTGGGTTAGAAAGGACAAGGAAAGGCAGCGGTGGTCTTAGGAGAGTCTCTTAGGTTTTATGAAGGTCGTCCACATACACACATTTATGTTTAACTCTGCATGTTGTTTTCCTCTCCTTCCAACGAAAGGAGGTCAGATCGTGGGTCGTAAGCCTTGGCAGTGTCATCCTCACGTTCATCTGTGCCCCGCTTGACAGAGACTGTAGCTTCTCTTGCTCCACACCGGCCCTGAATTCGCATCTTCCCCAGCTCTGAAATCAACTCTGTTCGGCCGATCCACCTTGCACCAGCGAGCCAAGTCGCCCCTGTAGAAACCCCCCTCCACCCTCCATCCTCTTCTAGCTCTACCCCTGCATAGGCGGAAAAGCCAAGTCAGGAGAACCCGATGGAGAATTTATTGTGAATCGATTCCCAGGCTCCTCTCCAGAGCAAGCTGTGGAGGAAAGGGAGGAGCGAAGCCTCCCCGGGCGCGCAGAGCTTGACTTCTTCCTCCCGTCCTGCCCAGTCTGAGCCCTGCGGAGGAGCCCCGGGGCTTGTCAGCTGCCGCCCCAGTGCCTGGCTTTGCCTCCCGAGACTTGGGCCTGGACGGCGATCTGCACGCGCACGCTTCTGGGGAGCAGTCCCGCTTGCTAAGGAAAGAGGCGAAATCGCACCTAAGCATTAGGCCCGAGCTTACTCTCGGCTTCCTCCTTTCCTCCCCCTGCTACCCCACCTCTCCAATCCCCGTCAATTCATGGACTCTCTCTCCTGCTTCTCCCGACCCTGCGAGGGGACATTCCAGTAGAAATTCTTTTGCTTTGTCGGTGGCAGTCGTGAAATTGTGCTGTGTTTTGTGATTTCTTTGGGGGTGATTGTCTCGCCTGTTTTCAGTTGTTGCTTATATGGGAGGGTTGTGGGTGGGACTGGGGAGGGCGAGGGGCTTAGAGCTGATTGTTTGTTTTGGAAGGAGAAAAACAAAGAAAAAGAACAAAAAATATATATCACTCTAGAAAATAAATCTCTCCTGTGTGTCATTCTGAGTTGGCTCGCCTCACCTGACCAGAGGTAGAGATGCTAGTTCCAAGAGGGTCGCTTGGAATAAAGAGAGAGTCCTGTGCCCAAGAGGTTGCAGGGTGGGCTTCCTAGTGGAGCTGAGAGCTGGTCCAGACCAAGGTTCCCAAGACCACTGCTTAAACTGAGCAAGAGCCTTCCAACAGGAGAGCTGGGAGACTGGAGGGGGAGAAAAGGAAAGATTAGTGGTTTGGAGAGGGGTCTGGGTCTGCAGGGAGCAATGAGAATCTTGCTCTTAAGTTGCACTAGAGACTTCCCCACCACCTCCAGAGCCAGAGGATGGCGAGGCCTGCCCTGCCATCCCTGGAAGCAGGTCCTCTCTCAGCTGGCTGAGAAAGCCACCTTGCTTTGGCCACTTTAAAATACCATGCAAGTGAAGAAAGCAGTAACTCCGTTCTGCTATTCCCTGCAGCAGAGGGATGGGATGCAGATAGAGGCCTCCGGAAGGCCGGGCTGTCCTTTCTTCCACTCAAAAAGAGTAAGCCCCTTAGGGTTTTCAGTCCCCACCTGGAGTTTGAGGCTCCAGTTTGAGCCACAGGGTAGCAGCCTTGGTGTAAGGCGGGTGGAGTTTGGTAGGGGTGGAGGCAGCTCCTACAGGCTGCGAGAGATGGTTGAGTGTGAAACAGAAATGGTTCAGGAGGGGAAAAAAACAACAACAAAAAACCCTTCCCAGTCGGACCCCAGAATTAAATTCGGTTTCAAGGCACCTTTCTGTCCCCCTCAGACTGTGGCGTCCCACCAAAGCCTCAAATGGGGAGCGCTGTTCTCGGCAGCCCGGCCGTTCCCATCCAGCCGCTGGGATTCTCCTTCGCCGGGCTGGCGCTTGGGAGCCGGCCTCCTGCCAGAGCCTCCCACCGGGCCCACCCAGCAGCGCTACAGTCCGCGGAGACCCTGAGGTTGGGGTAGAGGTAGGGACAAAGCCTGGCCCTCGAGAAAGCAGCCTGGAAGCGAAAAGGCCCTGCCTACCCCTCTCCGGCGATGGCGAACGGAAGGATGAGCTAATCGGAGAGACAGCAGGAGGCAGGAGAACGCGAAGCTCCTGATACAGCTGGGCCCCAACCCGCATCCTCCGAGGAGGGTTCCAGTCGATATATAAAGTGAATCTGCCTTTAGAGCTTGTGTAGAATGGGCTCCCTCCCCATCCTGGGCTCCCAGGAGCCAGCCCGCGCTGAGTGTGAGCCGAAAAGGCCGGATTCCGCCCAGAGGAAACGCAAGAAAGTGAGGCAGGAACTGAACGGAGTGCTGCGGTGTAGGGGGCGAGGGTGCCCCGGGAAGCCTCCGGCGGCGTCTGGATCCCCAGCCCGGGGTGGCTTCTTTAAAAACAAACAAAGGCGAAGATGCGGAGGCTCGGAAGCCGGAGATGGGGAAATCTGCTGTCATAAAAGAGAAAGATTCAGAGCGGGGGACCGGGAGAGTGCGAGACAGAGGGAAGCCGGGAGAGGAATTCAATGCCGTGTGCGCAGCAATAAAAGAATATGACCGCTATAAAAGTTTATAGCGTATAAATTTCTGAAGGTTAAGAAACTAAACAGCAGCAAAGCAAACAGAGAGGGGAAACTTTCCAGAGCTGAGAGAGCCACAGCTGGGCCTGGGCTCCGGGTCTGGCAGGCGAATGGGTGGGCCTGACTGGGCCGCCCCCACCCTCACCCTCCCGAAGTGCAGGGCGCGGGGTTTCCGGGGGCCCCAGGGGGCAAAGAGGGGCGAGGAGGGAGGGGGGAGGGAAGAACACTTCTGTTGTCACAAATGCTTCACGGAACGCAACTGGGACTCGTCTTTGTTCTTCGCAACCGCACCCCCTTCCAGAATCGGGTGTTATAAAGAGAAGCCCCCTGCACGCGCGCGCACACACACACACACACACACACACGCAGGTCCGGCGGGGCCAGACGTCTGGGCGCTGGCAGCCTCTTGATCCTTTTACAGTCTCGTCTCACTCTCTCAGGCCTCCTCTCCCCCCACAAAAAGCCCAATTGTTTCCCCTCAGAATTTGAAACAATCGTGTTGGGTTTGAAATGTGCTCGGCTCCCCCTTTTATGGGCCTTAAACGGCGCACTGCTCGGCGGTCTCTGCCCGAAATTAGGGGCTTGAGGTGGGGGGTGGGGCGAGAGATAAAAGATTCTGGTTTCTTTTTCGTTCCTTATTTCCTCTCCGTGTTTGTTTTTGTTTGTTTGTTTGTTTGTTTTGTTTAAAAAAATTTTTTTAGCTTATCTGCACAATTTTATGAACCACTGCCTGATTTCCGACGCCTTTTCTCTCGCCCGCTCTCGTTTCCCTCGCCCTTTTCTGCTAATACTGAAAGTTTCTCTGCATTGTCGCCGCACTGGCTGGCTCTCTGCTGGAGGAGACGGTGGCGGCGGCGCCTTTTCTCATCGTGGCCGCTAGATGGCACCCTTGCTCCACGTGAAAATCTCCCGTGCTGCGGCTGCCGGCGCCCGCGGCTGCACCTCGTACTTCGGTCGGCCCTGAATCTACGAATTGAGCGCTATCAAAAGTCATGAATAATTTGCCCAGAATAAAAATATAAGGTTCATTGTGGCTATTTCCCCCATTTTGTAGATTTCAGATATAGTGGTGTTGACCCCCTCGCCTCAAATGGTCAATTTTCTGAATTTCCCCCAGGAGCAGGGCTCAGGGCTTCTCACCCAGTTTCTACGTTCGGTGGGACAACAAATGCATGAAAACGGGGAATAATAGTAATAATAGGACTAGTGGATCCAAATAAAAGAGGAGGATTGGTTCGGGGAAATGAGATTGTCCGGGGAAGGGTGCGAGAGGAATGTCTGCGTATACGGGTGAGCAGGTCAGGTGAGAAGGGCGAGCCGGCAGAAGGTCGGATATAGAGGAAGCCGCCCCAACCTGCTGCGGAATCGGCGGGGGGGGGAACCGGGTGAGCCAGCCCGGGGTAGGGGTGGGCGCACTTTGGGGAAAACGGATCTGTGGCTTTGGCGGGGATTCGGAGGTGCCCAGAGCCGGCGGGGCGGCTCCGCACGGGGGAGAGGGAACCGGGTGAGCCAGCCCGGGGTAGGGGTGGGCGCACTTTGGGGAAAACGGATCTGTGGCTTTGGCGGGGATTCGGAGGTGCCCAGAGCCGGCGGGGCGGCTCCGCACGGATCGAGGCTCTAGAGCCTTTGTATGTGGCCAGGGCTGGGCAGGGCGGCGCCGGGCGACCCAGTCTCGGGGCAGGGGCTCCCAGAACGGCGAGGTGCGGAAAGGCTCGAATATTTCCTCGGTTGATCTGGGCGCTCCTATTTGGGCCGCCAAAACAGAGTGCGTTTTCCGGATGGACGTGGGAACAGGCGCAGTGCAGGAAGTAGGGGCTTGGCTCTCCCCGCGTCCCGTGGCTTCCAGGTGAGAGCTCGGGCTCCGTGCCCCGCGGCCCCGGCCCCAGACAGACCTGGGGAACACCGGTCCCTTCGCAGCTTAGCAGCTGGAGGCGTGGACTTAAGGCATTTCTTGCTCTGAGACCTGAGCGCTGTCAGCCTGCCCATTGCCCCTTAGATTCCACATCTCCCATTTCGACCCGACCCGGCCGATCCTTAAACTCCATCCAGACAAACGCGTGCGAGAAATAGATGCCCCCCCTCTCAAGATTAGCCCCGCTGCAGCCTCTCCTCTCCTCACCCAGGACCGGGAGGCTAGCGGAGTTTCTCAACTTGAGTTTCTCTAATAAATCTGCGCTCCGTTGGGTGTTTATAAATTATCTCCTCGCTCTTTCTTGTTTTTTCTTATAACAGAAACATTTTCCTTCCGTCAGGAATTTCTGGCACGGTGTAGGGATGATTTAGAACAAGCCACTGAATTTCTACCTCACCGGTGAGTCCTCATATCATGACCATAAAATCCCCGGCACTTGATTAAAATGTTCGCTTTGGCAACAACTTAACTCTGCCTTCCACTGCCTCACTGCCCCCTCAGCCTGGCGCTGAAAATTCAAGACCCTGGTCCTCTCCCCTCCTTTTCTTCTTTCTCTCTCTCCCTTTCAGCCCCTCTCCCATTCTCCAGATTCATTTTTGAAGGACCAAGTGGCCCCACCGGTACCTTCCCTTTGGAAAAGGTGATAGTTTCATTTTTACAAAGGTTGGGGTGAGTGGGATCCCCAAAAAGCACCCCTCCAAAAGGAAGCCACTCTCTCGTGAATAAACAATGGATCAACAGTGGATCTAATGTATTTGTAAAGGCTCCACCTTTGTTACTAGATTTCTTTCTCTCTCTCTCCCCTCCTTCCTTCTTTCCTCTCCTTTCCTTTCCTTTCCTCTTCTTTCCTTGCTCAGTGAGCCACTTCAGGAAGCCATTGGTTTGGACCCTCAGATTGGGGCCTTCTAAAGCCTGGCCACCATTGTCACTAGGCCCAGTAGGCTGGGAAAGGCAACTGGCAGGAGAGTGTGGCATTCAGTCAGCTGGGTCCAGCAGTCTGTTTCAGGACCTAGGTCCTCAGGTCTGGAGGGAGAGCAGGGTTTCACTAGAGGCTCCCAAGGGGAGAGGAGAGAAAATGGGGGACTCAGTGACCTTGCTGCATCCAAATCCCTTCTACCCCAAAGTCAGTTTAGGTAGTGACAGTGGCTCAAAGGACGGTGAAGGCTAAATGGTGCCCCTCACATTCATACACTCTGCAGTCACTGTCCAGGGCAGAGGAGGTCACAGGACAGTGGGCACCAAGGCCAGGCACCAGGGCAGCAGCCTCCATTGCTCTCCCCTCCCTCTGATGTGCTGATGAGCCTGGAACTGCCCTCTCAACCGAGGGTGATGCGGAAGGTGTGGAGGACTGGCCTGGGAAGGTTGGGAGCCAGTTGGGCTTGGTTACTGGGTCCCGAGGCCTGGGTGCAGGACTGGGGCAGCCCAACTGAATGTTATCCTGCTGGTGGCATCAGGCCCCTCTCCCATCACACAGACTTGGTCTGCCAAAGGCTTGCTGACTGGGCTCCAGGACCTTCTAGAGATCCCCTCCCCATTCCAGCAACCCCCTCCCAGGCCACCCGAGGTTGTGTAAAACTGCAGAATCGCAGTCGCAGGGTGAGCTTTGGTCAGGACTTCACCACTGCCCATTAACCAGAAAGTTTCGGCTCTTCCTCCTGGTGCCTCCTCAAGCTCTCCTGGATCCCTTCTCCAAAGAAAAGCCTTGTTTGTTTGTTGGAAAGTTGGTGAGTGGCCTGGGTGGGGCAGAGAGTGTGGTTTGGGGGCTCCGGAGAAGGAGTGGGGGCAGGTGCTTCAAAGCTTAAGGAGGCAGAAAATCTCTGAAAAGTCACCGTTTGCGCCGAAAAAAAACTCATAATCATTCTCATTTCGGCTTTGTCACCCCCACCGTGCTGCAGTCGGGCGGCGGGGGCGATCGAAGCTGCAGTTTTATAGCTGTAGAGGAAAGAACTCGTAAAATGCTAACAGCTTTTATGCGCTGCGGCATAAACAACAACAGACTCGGCTTTATTGCGTTTTATAGTTTGTTAAAGAGTTTACAGCCGTTTTTGGGGGCCGGTTACCCAGCCAATTCCCTCCACACGATAGTTAAACCTTTATCAATAATAAGGAAATTGATCATTAAAGCTTTAAATATGACTACCTCGTTTGTTTGAAAATATGTTTAGGAGAGGAAGCTGTATGATTTGATAACTTGTATTAAAATACCAATTACATTTATAGGACCTTTTAAAACTCGGTGCAATTAAACCGTGTTCTTTTACATTTTTCCGAAGCGACCCTGACATTTAAAAAGACTCCAACTGCCTCGTTAAAATCGCGAAATTAACAGCGTGCCTACGCCTGGCGCGTTGTGTATGTGTGTGCGTGGTTTTTTCCGTGCGCCTCACATCAGTCTTTGGGGGTGGTCTGCGAGGGTATTTGATTTGTTGTGAGGCGAGAGATATCTCATTAATGTAGGTAGTTAAACAGATTTAATCCGTATTCATGCTCTCTCCCCCCTCTCCCCCTCTCTCTCCCTGGGTCTTTTTTTTTTCTTCCCCTTTTTTTTTTTTTTTTTTTTTTTTTCCGCTCTCTCCTCACTCCCTGGCGCTCTCTCGCTCTAGCTCTCTCTCTTGCTCGCTCTCTCTCGCTCTCACCCTAGCTCTGCGTTCTGTCCGGGAGGAGTACGGAGAAGCCAATAGGATGCGGGGTCTCTAATGGATGCAAATGATCATGAAAAGACAGTGCAAAATATGAAACAACTCATTTGCAGGGAAGTAAATCACCGAAAACTGTTTATGAACTGGCATCCCTTCTTCGAAATGTAAAGCGAGGACCTCTTTAAGTGGCGGTATATTTTCTGGGGGGGTGGGGGGTGGGGGAGGGCGAGCGAGCCGCGGCTGCCATGCAAGCTTAGACTTTTGGAGGCTTCGCTGTCCTTTTCTATTCCTGGAAATCACAAAAAGTGTGGTGGCTTCGAGATATTCTTCGCCTTTTCTTTCTTTTCTTTTTCCCCCCTCCTCCTTTTCCTCTCCTTTCCTGGCGAGGGTGACTAGGAGCCGGCGAATCCGCGTTTTTTTCTCTCTCTCTCCCTCCCTTTCCCCCTCCCCACCCCCTCCCCAACAGCCCCCAACTACAGCCGCCGCCGCCGCCGCCGCCGCTGCCTCAAAATTCAATAAAATGAGCTCTTATTTCGTCAACTCACTGTTCTCCAAATACAAAACCGGGGAGTCCCTGCGCCCCAATTATTATGACTGCGGCTTCGCCCAGGACCTGGGCGGCCGACCCACCGTGGTGTACGGTCCCAGCAGCGGCGGCAGCTTCCAGCACCCGTCGCAAATCCAGGAGTTCTACCACGGGCCGTCGTCGCTGTCCACGGCTCCCTATCAGCAGAACCCGTGCGCCGTGGCGTGCCACGGGGACCCGGGCAACTTCTACGGCTACGACCCGCTGCAGCGGCAGAGCCTGTTCGGTGCGCAGGATCCAGACCTGGTGCAGTACGCAGACTGCAAGCTCGCCGCCGCCAGCGGCCTGGGGGAGGAGGCCGAGGGGTCCGAGCAGAGCCCGTCGCCCACACAGCTCTTCCCCTGGATGCGCCCGCAAGGTGAGCTCGCGTCGGGGCCGGCGGGGGGAAGGGAGACCCGGGGCCCAGGCTGGCACGGGGGGCCGGGCAGGCCAGGCGCAGTTCCGCCAGCCCCTGGAAGACTTGCTTGTTCCGTTCAAATAGGCTCCCCCTTCTTTCTTTCCTTCCTTCCTTCCTTCCTTCCTTCCTCCCTCCCTCCCTCCCTTCCTTCCTTCCTTCCTTCCCTTTCTTTTTTTGTTTCCCTTGAAGGAGGTCGCTAAGCGACATTTCCTGAATCCATAAACCCCTTACCCTGCCTGACTTCTTTTTTTCTTCCCCTCCTTTTTCCCCCTTTTACTGTTTTATGGGGGGTAGTGGAGAAAGGGTGGTGGGAATGGGGCGCTCAACTTTTGCACTTCTCAATTGCTTTATAGTTTAATTACCCTGAAGAAACTTTTCTTCTGGGGCAGAGGCTCTGGGGGCTTTTCAAGGTGGGTCCATTCGTCCCCATCCCGGCTTTTTTATTCTTACTTTCCCCCCTCCTTCACATCCTTCCTTCTAAAGTTTATGGCACTTTTAATAGATTCAACCGCCCCCGCCCAACTCTCTGGTGCTGGTTACCAGGGGAGGTGGCTCCCCTTTCTGGCTCCCTTAGATTCAGTGGTGTCTGATCCCCCTCACCCGCCCCCCCCTCGGCTGACCGCAGCCTCCCAGTGCTCCCGCCCCTGCACGGGGTAGAAGGTCCCCTGCCCTTATTATACTGGTCTCCTAGGCTGGTTCACGAATCTTCCAACCTTCTCTGTCTCTGCCCCCTCCCCCACCCTCCCCTCCCCTCTGTCTCGCCCTTTCCCCCATTCCCAGCAGCCGCCGGACGCAGGCGAGGCCGACAGACCTACAGCCGCTACCAGACCCTGGAGCTGGAGAAGGAGTTCCTATTTAATCCCTATCTGACTCGCAAGCGGAGGATCGAGGTATCGCATGCGCTGGGACTGACAGAGAGACAGGTCAAAATCTGGTTCCAGAACCGGAGGATGAAGTGGAAAAAAGAGAACAACAAAGACAAGTTCCCTAGCAGCAAATGCGAGCAGGAGGAGCTGGAGAAGCAGAAGCTGGAGCGGGCCCCGGAGGCGGCGGACGAGGGCGACGCGCATAAGGGCGACAAGAAGTAGGCTCCAGCTGGGACTGCCAGGGCCGAGGCCGCCCTGCCTCCGCGGGTCACCCGACCGCGCTGCCGTCGCCCAACCCCGCCCGAGAGAGCTCTGGCCCCGCGAGCGGGGCCCGGAGCCTGGCCTCCCACCGCAGCGTCCCCGCCGCGCCAGTCCCCGCTAGTGGTAGTTTCTCGTAATAGCTTCTGTGTGTGAGCTACCGTGGATCTCCTTCCCATCTCTTGGGGGCCGGAGGGGTGGGAAAGAGAAGGATTTTAAGCAAGGACTCCCTCTCCCTGCTAGGGTGAGTGGCTGCGGCCTGGCTGAGCCCCACCCCCACGCCCCTGCCCCGTGTAAAAATCCTCCTTGTGCAATGGTCTTTTTTCCTTTGAACGTGCTTCTTTGTAATGACCGAGGTACCGATTTCTGCTAAGTTCTCCCAACAACATGAAACTGCCTATTCACGCCGTAATTCTTTCTGTCTCCCTCCCTCCTTCTCTCTCTCTCTCTCTCTCTCTCTCTCTCTCTCTCTCTCTCTCTCTCTCCCCTCGTCCTCATTTCCCCTCCCACCCCGCTCCCCGCTGCCCTCTCTAGCTCGCTGGCTTTCTCTCTGGCTTCTCTCTTTTCCTTCCTTCCCCCGCCCCCCGCTTTGGTTTGACAATTTCGTCTTAAGTGTTTCTCAAAAGAGGTTACTTTAGTTAGCATGCGCGCTGTGGGCAATTGTTTAAAGTGTTCTTAGGTTTACTGTGAAGAGAATGTATCCTGTATCCGTGAATTGCTTTATTGGGGGGCGGGAGGGCTAATTATATATTTTGTTGTTCCTCTATACTTTGTTCAGTTGTCTGCGCCTGAAAAGGGCGGAAGAGTTACAATAAAGTTTACAAGCGAGAACCCGAGATTTGCCCGGCCCGCGCTCCTCATTTGCTCCCGGCGCCTTGCAGAGCTGCAGTCACAGGGCTCCTGCGTCTGCCTGGCCGCGCAGCGGAGGGGGCGGGGGCTGGAGGCAGGTGGTGCGAGTCCCTCGGCCCAGGGGCGCAGGGGATGAGGGAGGCGGCTGCGCGTGATTGGAGGAGAGACGAACGAGGGAGGGGAGCAGAGAGAAACCCCCTCCCCCTCCCTTCGAGTTCCGAGGCTGCCGGCCCCGGAG